TATTTGTTTTATATTTATCTGTTTAAAAAAGGTACACACCATAATTTTTTTTTAAAAAAATTCAGAAGAAATGTTAGAGACTCATAAATTCACCCAAAATGATATGGTAATAGAATTGGAGTCTACATCATTAGGTGTATAACAAATCAAAAAATGATACATATCATACGACATAATTCTATCATATATCTAATAATTTATTCTATTCAATTTCATAGAACAATATTTTAATTTTTTTTAAATTATCAAAATACAAAACTTAAACATACTATAATAATAGTCCGTGCCTTGCACAGGGTTTTTAAACTAGAAATTGTTAAATAATTTTTTTCTACTTATTTATTAGTTTAGTGAATTATTTTAGTATTTTTTTTAGATGAGAGAATTATCTTAGTATTTGTTTTATATTTATTTGTTGAGAAAAGTTACATATCATAATTTTTTTTTTAATAAATTCGAAATAAATGTTAAAGACTCATAATTTCATCCAAAACGAAATGGTAAACATATAATACATAATTCTATAATACCACATAATTAAATTCTATAATAAATTTGAAGTCTATATCATTAGCTGTATAACAAATCAAAAAATGATACATATATCACATAATTCTATTATATATCTAATGATTTATTCAATTTGGTTTCAGAAAACAATATTTTAATTTTTAAAAAATTATTAAAATACAAAACTTAAACAAACTATAATAATAGCTCGTGCCTTGTACAAGCATTTTTAAATTATTATATATATATATAAAAAAGAATAGATTAGGGCAAAGCGGCTTTACTCTTCTTTTTTTTCCTCATTTTGCCCTCTTTTTTTGGTAATATTTACCAATTGCTAGTACTAATTTAGATGATGGTTTTTTCTTAATTATGCAAAAAAAAATTTGATCAGTTATGAAACATGAATATTTTATTTTTGAAAATAGCTTTGGTCAAAGAGGTTTCCCTCCTCCCCCCATTTTGCCCTTTTTTTGGTAATATTTACCAATATTAATTTAGATGCTGAATTTTTTTTCGTAATTATCTAGAAAAACTTGGCCGGTAATAAAACATAAGAATAAAGCTTTGGACCCCCAGTGGGGGTACTGGGGTCACCTCCCATTGGTCCAAAAAAAAAAACAGTTTTTTTTTTTTTTTTTTTTTTGTTTTTTTTTTTGAGTTTTCAGCCAACCCCAGGCCGACACGTGGCACTGGGGGTCACTGGGGGTCATCCCCAGTGGGGGTCTGTAGCATTGCTGTAAAACATAAATATTTTGTTTCTAAATAAATTAACAATACACCCATGAGATTTGTTTAAAATATGAGTTGCCCTTATAATATTAGAAATTACAACTACAACAAAAATAAATAAATAAATAATTTTCCCTATTTTGCCCTCTTGTTTTGGTAATATTTACCAATATTGCTGGTATTAATTTATATGATGATTTTTTCGTAATTATACAGAAAAACTTAGTCAGTTATGAAATATGAATATTTTATTTTGGGAAATAAATAAATAAATAAATAACTACTTTCTTATGTAGCAATGAAATTATCACAATTATTCATTGAAAGATATTTTTTATATCATTAAAAACTATTAATTAACTTAATGAATTATTTATTAATATTTTAATTTAAAAATATTAAGATGTATAAAATATATAAAAATGTTTCATTTAAATTTTAGTGCCTAAAATTTGTAAAAAGTTAAGCCGTCCATGCTCTCATAAAAGATAGTACACAGGTAATAAACTTAAATAATTTAATCAATTTACATTTTTTCATACAAATTTTTGTATTTTAACATTTGACCCATGCCCATAGACCATGTGACCAAAAAACAAATTAAAAGCGGGATTTTGTAGAGTTATTTTATTGGAAAATGCTATAATATGCACCCCTTTAGAGGTGCATACCACATGCACTTTACCACAAAAATAAAAAAAAAAAACTTAATCACAAAATTTCGCAACATTAACCACGATATGCTTAATCTTGCTACAAATTGGTGTAATAAAAAAAAGGGGATTTGGTCAAAGCCTCCTCACAATAAAACTTTAATGCATTAAGGATAAGTATAAAAAAAAATTTCTTGAAAGGTCCAACACGTATCACTATTACTAAAATATTAAATTTTAAAATAATATAACTTTTGATCTAAATGTCAGTTTTTAATAAAATTAGTATTTTTAAAATCCTCTCATTAAGATCTATCAAATAAGATCCATGTTGACTATAAAATTCTTTCTTGATTTTTTTTATTACCGTCACAGCAACATATTCTGTCTTACAGTAACTTGTTACTTTGACAATATTGTCTAAGAAAAAGAATATATTTTACTTTGTCCTTATTCAATTATGCGCTTCCTCTTTAGGAGTTTATGAAACAAAATAATTTGGGATGCTATTTTCAACAAACAATGGTCCAATGGGGGAGGGGGGTTGACTAAATTCTTCTTTTAAAAAATGTCGTAACTAAGTCACAAATTTTTGCACCATCAAACACCAAATTTTGAACATTTTGTTATACCAATTTGTTGCGAAGTTACTTATTTTGTAGTTGATGTTACGAATTTTGGTGATAAAATTACGCATTTTATGGCAAGACACACATTTTGTTGTAAAGTTACACCATAGTATTTCTCCATTTTCTTTAAAAGTGATTTTAGAGTGATTATTTATATGGGTGTTATGTTCTCAACTTTTGACTATTGAATCTTGAATTTTTGTAAAATTAAATATTAGTCATCCAAAAAAAAAAAAAAACACATGGCACATGGTTATTACCCCTAAAAAGAAAAAAAAGCAGAAATAGAGTTTCACATTTATAATAAAATAAATTCGCAGTTTTAGATTTTGTTAATTTAAACTTTATGCTCAGTTGACTAAAAAGATGAACGCTTAAAAAGTTTACATCATTATGGTTGTATAATAAATCTTAGAAAATGTATTCATTATTTATTCAAATTAAAAATAAAATCCAAATATCTTCTTCAACCAGCCCGTGCCTTGCACGAGCATGCTTTATTAGTATATATATGTGGGAAATTTACCAAGAAGTGGTGCAAATTTGTCTTTACACAAAAGAGAGAATGACATCGTAAAAGGTGATTCTATTTACACGCCACTAATACTCTCAATAAATATCATTAATTGATTAAATTTATATTTCAATAATATCCTCTAATGAAATGACTATTAAATAAAACATGGGGTGTATTCTACTTATTCAAAAATTTCATATTTAAAAATACAAAATACTGTTCACACACCCATCATTCCTATAGGGCATGTTTGATTGGAAGGATTAAAGCATGGGATTGGGATTATTAATCCGTGGGTCCAATTATCCTATGTTTGTTTTGACATTTTGGTTTAGGATTATTAATCCAATGAATAATTAATCCAACAAATTTGTAGGATTATTAGTAATGGGGTAGGGGTGAGATAGTTAATACCACACTAATTCTATAGGATTATTAATACCTCACTATTAGTGTTGTGAATCAAACATGACCATAGAGTTTAGGGTTTTAACACACACTTGTGCATTTCTTCATCATCTTCACCATTAATATACACTTATGGTATCCTTCATTATCAATTAACTCACTTCATTCTCTTCTCCGTTATACTTGTTTTTTAAATTCAAAATATTATTGTATTTGAAAATTTAGAGTTTAAGAATATTAAAATCAATTAATTTTGAAGATTGCACATCATAAATGACATTGAGATGATTAATTCTGATATAAATATTGAAAATGTTGATTTGAACATTAAAAAAATTAGTTGACTTAATTTATTTTTTGCTTTTTTATTATGTCGCCTGTATGTTGGAAAAATCAATTTGTTTGTCTTGTTCAGATAACCAAAATTGAACTTTTATACAGTGTTCAATTATTTATATTTAAACAGAATATTTTTTTTCAAATTATTAAGATTGACTAAATATTAAATGTTCATACATAAAAAATTAAACATTTTAAATTAATTCAATAAAAATAAATTAAACTTTTATTCATTTTTTAAATATAAATTTTTGAACACATTAAGTTTGTTCAATTATGTATTTATCAATATGACTAATTTAATGACTTTGAAACAAGGACGAGAGACGAGAGTTTGACACCGACAATGAAGATCAACGCAGGTGAAGATGGAGGTCAAATGAAACACTCCGCTGGTGATCAGAAACGACAAGACCAGATGTGACACGACAAGAGTTCAACACCAGTGAAGATGGAAGCCGAATGAAACCTCCGCCGACAATGGAGATCAAGACCAACAAAGATGGTTTCTATTAGTCTTTGCTCTAAAGATTGTGGGATTTTTGTTGTGTAGTGGTGAAGATGATGAATTTTTAGCATGCGTAATAGTGTGTATTCAAATAATTAGTGGTGTGCTAATATAAGATTAGTAATGAAAAGTTAGATGCAAACTAAGATATTTTTAAACCTTAAAAATTATTTTGTGTATCCTAAGTAATGATGTGTATTAGTGATGTGTGAATAGAATCATCCCATCCTAAAATTCCAGAGTACGGCTATGATTTCAAATGAACAAGCAATTGAGGCCACAATCATATATATACATAGGGAATGGCTTCCCTCAAGTTAATAAGGACTGAAGGGTGCTGCTGGACACATGAAGGCCTACCATGAGTCTCATTTTAATAATTTGAACCGTTTAATATGTAGAATTTATCAAATACTATACGCTTGTAAAAAATCACATTGATCAGATATCGATAACTATTTCATCGAATCCGATTTCTGTCAACCGTTTATTTTTTTACCATCTATTTTTTCATATACAAAACTGATTTTATCATGTATCTATCGCTATTTGATCAACGTGATTTTTTTATAATTATATAGTACTCGATAAGTTCTACACATTACACGGTTCGAATTATCGAAACGGGACCCATGATAGACCAGCACAGGCCCAACAACACCCTCCAGTTGGACCGGAGGGAAGCCATTCCCATATACATATTATTAATTGAATAACATTGTGCTTGGATAACATTCATAAGGTGACACGTACAATCCTGCAGGGCTAATTGCATTGGAATCTAATGAATTAAACTCTGAAACTATAACCCATCCAAGATGACCAGTCTCCACCCAACAAAGCTCTTTTCCTGTAGTTTCAAGGAGAATGAAATAGAAAATAGATGCAATACAATGATTTTGGTAAGCATATGTTGTTGCGCTAAAAGACTGAAGTTCACTGATGGATCTAAACTGGTGCCACACATGATGGCACTAGTTCCAGTCACAACCTATGTCTAATATTTTGGGTAAAAAATGTCCCAGCTCACCTTTAGAGCTGAGTCATCCACTATTGACTGATGTCTAGTACCAGCTTTTCAAGCGCATCTGTTGTTAGAGGAATGTACAAGCAATCCTGGCCATCAGAATGTCTTCTAGTCTTGACCAACTCATGATCTTTGAATTCTGTCAAGTGGGAATTCAGTGTTACCTGACTACTAACCAGGAAGCGCTCTCGACAGATTGTATACAATGTATTGATTGGCATCCCTGAAAAGAGAAAAAAAAGAGTAACATGAAATAAAAGATTCAAGTTGTGACAGATATTATAACTCCAAAGCAAAAAAGAAATTACTTGCCTTCTTCATCTGGATGAGCCAGTTGATGTTCCGCAAGAACTTTGAACACACTCTGGGCATTAGGCGTCAAACTCTGTAAAACTATTGAAGCTGTCTTAACACTTTGGGTGGTGCCTCCATGTGCAAGAATCAATGGATAGAAGATTCCTTCAACCTTGTATGGAGCAAATGTAGGGACATGATACCAACACCAGTTGAACTGTGTGTGAACCATCTTCTTATCCCACACTAGTATCAAACCCAATCATTCATCATTATGCACAAAAATGAACTAGCAGAAAAGGTACTATATTCAATAATGCTACAAGTTCAGCTGCAATGAAGCATCACAAGGTAAGCTTTTTTACTGCTCTAGTTGTAGGCTAGTGTTCTGCACTCAAATGAGGCCCATAAAGGTGATAATCATGTTTCAAAAATAAATTGGAGTGCTTTTTCTTTTTAAAAAGGAAGGGGAAAGGAGGGAGGGGGATAGATACCACAATCATCCAACCAACAATAAATCCCCAAAATTAAATCACCACTTTTATTACTACATTAACCTGATAATTCACTAGTTATATCAAGGATCATCACCTAGCTGTAGAATAACTGAAGATAATAAAAACTTTTTTTTTTGGGTACATTGGAGGGGGAAGGGAGTTGAACATGTGTGACCTCTTGAGAAGTGCTAGAGACCCACACAATTTGGACCCTTAAATTCACCAACAATGATGTGGCAACGAAGATATGCCCTACACAATTGAGTGTGTGGCAAATCAAAAGTTAACATCTATCATTCCACATCATTGTGGGTTAAATGGTGAGAGAATTTTTGTTGGGTCTTAAACATTTTTTGTGACCTAGTGGGTATATGGGTAATGGAACATTTAACAAAATAATGCAAAAGGCCAAATGAATGGGGAAAAAATGATGGAAAATGGTTTACAAGATGCCCAATGTTGAATATTTTCCTGTGAAAAAAAAAATGCTAAGAAGACAATACTTACAAAGAGGTGCATTCACATTATCAATAGAAGCAACAACGCGTATATGAGAACACGCAGCTATTCTTGCAAGATATTGTTGAGTGTCAGAGTCTCGCAATCCAGGCCCATCAATGTTATGAACAACAACACAAACAAAACATTCATCTCCCTCCACTTGCGGGCCATCTAGAAAAGAAAGAAGATCGTCTATGGATCGGGAATTAAATGGCTGTTGAACTTTAGACAAGTTTCCTGAAGGAGTCCTCTGAATTTTCAATTGATCCCATAGAAGTTCAGCCAAGACTATCATAACCTACAAGTTTAATATTCATGATTTGCTATTAAACATGATAAGAAAAATGAACAATTAATATTTGCCTTCTGTGCTAAATGGATAGAAATTTGCTCAAATTATAATGCAAATACAATGTCCGAAGGTGAAACAAATTCTGCCAATCAGTCATAATTGCTTGAAGTTTAACCTTTTATACTTTGAGAGCATGTTTCCGTTACCCAACCCAATATATAGTATATAAAGTAGAGTTTATCCTTATTTTTATGATTTTTCCTAAATTGTGTCTACATAGCACTCTACATTGTCTCGTTTTTAAATTGCCACATCATAAGATATTTAGTAGACCCACTCTATTAATTACTTAATACATTAAGTTCCCTACATATTATATAAATCCTACTTCGAACAGCGTTATCTTTAAGCTATCAATTTTTTTTTTATTTACAAAAATTTCAAAATACAATTAAAATCATTAGATTCAATTAATTCTCTGTTTCCATCCTCCCCAACTGCCCGTATGTCTCTTATAAGTATTTTTTTTTTAATTCAAATAATTATATATCTCCTCACCTACCACTTTCATCCAACCCTCTTAAGTTGAAGTGTGTGTGTGCGTGTATATATAAACATTCATCTAATTTGAAATTTTTGTTCATTAAATGATGTTGATACATAACTGCAATCTTATGAATCTTTTTAATTGAATTTTTTTTATTAAAAAAAATAATAATTAAATTATAGTGTAATTTAACTGCATAAGATTCATTTAGAAATATAATTTTAGCTCTCAAAATTTCTATCAAAAAACTGCAAAATACTCTACCTGTATTTATAAAAATGGTAGCTATACAAAAAACTTATTTTTTAAAAACAAATTAACATTTTATTTTAATATTTTTTTTTTTTTTGCAAATTTAATGTCTATTATATATCTCAATTATAAATAAATTGATAGAAAAACAAATTGTTTTATTATTTCTTTACTTTATAATTACGAGACAGTAAGCAATTTGAAGGCCTAAACTTTTTCCAATCATAGGCAAAGGGAGAACAGAGCTGGTAGGTGCCACCCTCCAATTCATGATAGTTCTTTTGTTCAAAATTTGTATAGTTGATACAGTGTTGGGTGTTGCTGGTCCCCAAACTTAAATCTACAAATTCAGAGCTTTCATAAATATGAATGTAATATTAATGGGATGAATGGTCTAAGATAGACACCACTCGACTGTTGCTAAGTCTTAAAACATGTTTTCAAGTAAATTGCTAAATTAATTGAATTCAATTTTGGTGATACTAATACTTCTAATTAATTATCAATAAGGCTTTATAAAAGAGTGAGTGAATAATTTTTATTTCATATAAAAATGTTCTAAGATAAACAAATAAAAGTTTTCAGTGGTTTATTAGTAGTAATTAAGGAGAAGAGTCCACCATTTCTTTCAAATTGTATTTAATTAATAGTGGACTTCATTGAAAACATTTATCACATCATGTCTTTATTTCAATAAAAAAAATATTTATTTAACATGATTTGCATTATCGAGGTTATTATAACTTTTCAAATAAAATTTGTCAGTTTTACAGGCCAATTCTACTATTGAGGCCATGAGTTCCAGTTCGCTCAAGGTTAAACTATGCTGATGTATTCATATTTTTTTTAAAATTTAAATAGAGATTTTTGTTTTTTACCATACGATGTACTTCTCATTACATAATAAAATGCCTAATTTACTATGAGAAAAAAATTATTATAAATATACCAGTAGCCCCTGTTATAGAGATTTTTTGTGATTAAGATGAGATGATTTACTTTCCATGATATATAGCTATCTACTTCACGTAGTGAAAATAAATAAATAATTTCATTTACACATAGCACATAGTAAATAGACTGTAGATAATTTTGATTAAATAGAATATTCATAAATATATAACAACAATACTACATAGCACATAGTATGTATCATTCATAATTTTTACTATACATGCAAAAATAATAATTGACATATATTTGCTCATATAACTTAAAATTTGTTTTGTGCCCCCTGCATTGCACATGGTTAACTACTAGTTCAATATACAAAATGGCAATTTTCAGAAAATTATAATCAATTTCAGCAGACTTTGAGCAAATAGAACAGAAGTTCCATCAAGCAATCATATGACATGAGCAAAGACGCAGTCAAATCCAAACTGATAATCTGCAACATGAGTGCTCCAATGGTGAAGTACAATACAGCATTCTGAAAATTCAACACTGCTGATAGGTAATGCAAGATTAGATGGGTTAATCAGTTTTTTTTTTTATTTTTGATTGCCACCGAGGTGTCCTAATCAAAGTCCGATTAATGCCAGGGGTGCACAGGCCCTCGGCAAGAAGTTTCTCGCAAATGCACCACGGTTAAATCAAGAGTTTTTCCCCAGTCCAATGACCCCAAGGAATTATTAGCACTTAAGAGGTTTCGATCGTTGAACCTCGAAGGGAGCACACCCTTAAGACCCAAGCCACCAGGCCAACCTGTTGGGGTTAGATGGGTTGATCAGTTTTAACTATTATGCTACCCTAGCAAGGGAATACAGCAACAAAACCATTTTTAAGCGCACGTGCCTTAAGACCATAAAATCAGGAATTGATTGTGTTCAACAAATTGAAGGATAACATTACCCAAATTATTTGGTCCCATAATAGCATTGCAAGGACATCAGATGACTCATATTCACAAAGATTCAATGTTCTAGGGACAATAATAGGTCCAAACTTACCAAAGGTTATCTTCTAATTTCCAAAAATAATAATTGGAAAATGGTTTAGCAATTTTAACATAAATATTCTTAATATTTCAAAAATATTTTAGATTTAATTAGTGTCAAGTACAACACAATCACCATCCAACCAAAACAAATGCCATCATTTCCCCTCCAAAATGATTTCTGCAGTCAGTTTTTCCTCCCCCCACCTTTATCAATGCTTCTGTCACCCACCACTAGCACCATATCACCCGGCTAAGAAACACGGACACGAACACGTGACATGACACAGACACGCAAATTTAATAACTATAGGACACAATACATCGGAGAGACGTGCAAAGCATATAATTTTATACAATTATTATATTCTATGTCAAATATTTATTCTTATCCATCCTCCTCCATGGCCACCACGATTATCTTTGTGGATAGACACAGCATGTGCCAATCCATGCATTTGTATTATAGGCTTATAGCTAATGCATAACCCACTGTGAACACTTTCAGTTTTTGTGCTTCTTATTCCAATTCCCATACTATGGCCATTGCAAAGTAATATATCTTAGAGCTTAATGAAAGATCTAATATTGCTCAAACAATATAATGTCATATGGCATTACGTGTGCAATGCTGGGATGAACAAATTCGCAGTCAACTACTACAATTGTATGCAAAAACATGGTTAAACCAACTTAGCCCACTGCAGCAGCATCATAAAGTATAATACTAGCGTACCTGTTTAAGATTAATCGAATGAAGATAGCCATTGATTACAACAACACCACACTCAATTAATTCTGTTGAAGCGAAATCTTCAATCAAGGCCTTCTTAGATCCAAAACCATACATTAAAAGGCCAAAGCCACACCTGGGGCATTTTGAAGAACAACAAACACATAACAACTCCAGCTTCTTACAAAAAATTAACAAAGGAAAATTAATAGAACAACAATTGAGTACATGCCTTAGCTCAAAAGCCCATTTTGAGTACAAACTTTTGTAATTGTTCAACAAAGACGCAATTTCACTCTCATGTTTAGGCTCGATTTTAGCTGTGGCCTCTCTTAGCTCCTGCATTATCAATGTGAATACAAGTGTATATATATATATGCACATATAGAGAGAGAAAGGGGTGCAAAAGGGAGCACCTGTTCATCGACAAGATTGATGTCAGAGAGCTTGTGAGTTGATTTCTTTCCAGAACTGGCCAACTCTTTTGCGAGAAAATAGTTTCTTGAGAACCCAAACTCTTCATCGTCAACATCGTTGGCCTCCATGGTTTTGATTTCAACAGGTTCAAGGAAAGGAAAAGTAGGGCAAGAGCAGCTGCAACATTAATCTTTATTTTACCTAGCCAAGGCACACAAAAAAAAGTACACTCTTTATTTGGCCAGCTAGTTTTTCATCTATTTACTCCAACACTAGTCTTTATTTTAGCTACCCTTTTCCAAAGAAATATACTATTTGCACAAAAATCAAGCAGCCATCAAAAAGCCAACAGCTGAAATTATTCAGTAACCTATTACGAAACCAATGGTGCTATAATGTAAACAACATCAAACACAATTTCAAAACCTTTTACAAACACTAGTACATAGTTGTACTATGTACCACTAAGGTGTTTTTTTACTTTGGCTAGAAATAAGAACTTCAATTAGATATATATGAAAGAAACAATACATGATTACAAGCCCTAAAAACAGCGGAGCGGACAGGATGACCCATAAAACTTAGATAACAATCCTTCCACCCACACCCTATCTGGTGTTGCTCTGTTTGTTCATAAGCCAAAATGCAAATCAAATCAACTAAGCAAACCAGAAGAAAAGACAAAGATTAACTTGTTATATTCCCCAAACTTCCAATGTCTATGTGCAAATCAATCAATCAAAAAATTGAATCACAAAAAAAATTGATCAAAGAATCCTAACAACCATCGTATGTGAATATGAATTACAAAAAAAAAAATGATCAGGAAAGTGCCCAAACATGTAGATGAAATGAAACCAAAACAATAACCAAATCAAACAATCAAACAACCCAACCTTAAATGCAGCAAACAAAGTTTGGCCGTTCTGGTACTTCAACACCAATATTTGAAGATGTAGAACACCCTGAAATAGATTCACTTTCAGCCTAGGTGCATATATACAAATCTTACCAGTTAAAGATTACCGAAACTAATCTTACCAGCGACTGTTGATGTTCAGGTGGAAGGAATTTCTATCATTGTTCGATTAAAGGCATTATCAAAGCCTATCGGAATACGGGAGGTTCATCGGCAATGGAGTTTCCAACCAGTTTCGGGCGACTCCAGTACCGGAGGAAGGAGAGGTGAGGAGTCAGTTTGGTGGACTGAATGAGGTGGATGACGGCAATGAAGGAAGAGTAAGAGACGAAAGGGGAAATCAGTTTGAGTGCTTGATTATTAATGGGCCTGGCCAAAAAGTCGGCTCAGCCCAAGATTTGGTTATTTCATGTAAGGATAATCATTTTGGTGGACAGGAACAGTTAGGCCCAAATGAATTTCAAATTTATAAGGAACGTAGCCCAGCACTTAATGAGGGCCCAACGGATTTTCTTATTTATAAGGAGAGGGGCCCAAGTTTTATTGAAGGGCCAAGGGCCTCTATTCCCAAGCTGATGAAGGTTTCGGTGTTGGGTTTGGGTAGACTGGCTGATCCAATTCTTTTGGCCTCACGGGTTAGAGATTCTGAGTTAGTCGGTGACGATGAGCCTCGAAGAAGTTCAACAAATGAGGAAAGTCACCAACTGAGCCTCAAAGAAGTTCAGTGAATGAGGAAAGGAGTCGACTCCCATCTTGTGATGCATTAGAACCAGTTGATCGTGCTCATCGAAGGCTGTTGATCATTCACGAAGATCTTAACACAGAGGAATCACAATTAGGGCTGACAGATATGGTGGATAGATCAGGTGAGAATTTTTAGAGATTAAATGTTGTGGCTGAGGATTTGATGGAAGTTAACTTGGTTTCGGAAAAATTGGTTCATGATTTGGAAGAGGGTCGTTTTGTAGCACAAGAGGTATTACAAACTCTGGAGAAGTATGGATCATCTGAGAGCTTAGATTCACAAGAATGTTTAAATTTTTTACATAATCTAGTCATATGACAAGAATGTGACTACAAAATGAGGGTAAGAGAAAAAAATGTTCTACTCGGGGCACTAGGCGAGTACCTAAGTTGCCTATCCCTTGAGCCACCACTATAAACAAAATTCTCTTTCAACTTCTTCATCAAAAACCAAACAAATACAGGAAATTAATTTCTCTTAAATCCCAATTAACTCCAAACACACACACGCATAAACACACAGAGATAATAATAAATAAATAAATAAGATTTAATTAGAAACCACTTCCTTTCCTTTCCTTTCCCTTATCCAAATCCAAATTTCAAATGGATTTAGTTCCAAACTCAAGAGTTTTTTTCCCACTATGTGCCTTAAAAACACCTACAATGGAGAATACTTTCATGCTTGATTTTCATTCTCAACCAAGACATCAAATTTAACCAAATTTAGGATCCGATGATATTCCTATTGAAGCTTGGAAGTGTTTGGGTAAAAAAGGGTTGCTTGGTTGATTAGGTTGTTTAGCAAAATTTTGTTGACTAGGAACATGTCAGATGAGTGGAGGAAGAGTATTTTAGTACCAATCTATAAGAATAAACGAGATGTCCAGAATTGCAACAACTATAGAGGAATCAAGCTAATATGTCATATAATGAAAGTGTGGGAGAGGGTGATGGAACGCCGATTACAAGATATGACAGAGGTGTCAGATAATCAATTTGAGTTTATGCCTGACAGGTCAATAATAGAATTGATTTACCTTTTGAGGAGAGTAATAGAAAAGTATAGAGAAAAGAAAAGAGACATTCATATGGTGTTTATCGACCTTGAGAAAGCATATGATAGAGTACCTCGGGATATAATATGGTAGGTGTTAGAGAAGAAAGGGATGACAAAAGATTACATTGATGTGATTAGAGACATGTATGAAGGGGTAGTGACCACTATTAGATCGCCCGCTGGAGAGACAAATGAATTTTCTATCACCGTAAGGTTACACCAAGGATCTAACTTGAGTCCTTATCTTTTTGCTTTAATTATGGATGAGTTGATGATAAATATTCAGGATGACGTGTCATGGTGTATGCTTTTTGCAGACGATATCATTCTAGTGGATAAGACTAGAGAAGGAGTTAACACAAAGTTGGAGATTTGGAGAAACGCACTTGAATCTAAAGGATTCCGGATAAGCAAAACTAAGACATAGTACATAGAATGAAAACAGAGGAGAAGTGAAGATTGAGAACCAAAAACTGCCTAAGAGTGAGCATTTTCATTATTTAGGGTCGTTATCATAACAGCGGTGAAGATTGATGCGGATGTGACCCATAGGATTAAGTCGGGATGGTGTAAGTGGAGAATTGCGTCTGGGATACTATGCGATAAATGAATACCCACTAGACTAAAAGATAAGTTCTACAAAACGGCTATTAGACCAACAATGTTGTATGGCACGAAGTGTTGGGTAATTAAGAAACAACATGTACATAAGATGAGTGTGGCTGAAATGAGAATGCTAAGGTGGATGTGTGGCAAGACTAGACAAGACAGAATTAGAAATGAGTGTATTCGGGAATGGGTAGGAGTAACACCAATAGAAGATAAGTTGAAAGAGAATCAATTAAGATGATTTGGTTATATTCAATGAAGACCAACAGAGGCAATAGTGAAGAGATGTGATACAGTGACAGTAGATGAAAGTGTTAGGGGACCAGGTAGGCCTAAATTAACGTTGGCTAGTGTTGTAAATAGAGATATGGATATACTTAATTTGACTAACGAAATGGCCTTTAATAGATTCGCGTGGAGAAGAAGGATTCATGTAGCTGACTCCATTTGATGAGACTTAAGACTTGGTTTGGTTTGGTTTGGTTTGGTAATAACTTATTTTTTCGATTAGTCTAAATTAGCGTATTCAAAACATATGTTGTTTTAAATGGTGGAAACAACATAGATAGGAATTTAATCATCACAACAAAAAAATCAGAAGCACTATTAGATTGAAATCTAAAATTTAATTCTCCAAAAAGCACACCAGAAATAGAAATGGTATGTCACTTTAGACTCCTTGCTCACTTAGATTACAGAGGCTTTCTCCTTGAGATCTCATGCTTTCTCACCAACACACAAAACAAGCTAAAACATTGAGAGGCTCATTAAATTTCTCCACCTATGAATGCATATATATATATATATATGGTTAATTGCACTAATAGTCCCAAAAGTAATGTTATGTTACACTTTAGTCTTTAACTTTTTGGATTAATAATTTCTATCACCAAACCTAGCCCACAACATTCAACATCCCCACTTCATTCTCTCTAAAAATTGTCTCTTACTCTAAAATATCTCTTCAATTCCCCTGCAAAGCAAATCCATTGCCCTATTACATGCCCAAGACTCAAATAAATTATCATGGATATAAATCATCATAAGAAAATAAAAGATGAAAATTAAGTTGATGCGTTGACAAAGAGAGAGAAACTCCAAAGGGAAATGAAAATAAAAGAGGAAGAGAATCACAGTGATATTCAGGTTTCAATTTGATGGAATACCATCAAATACATGGTCTTGTGGAAGACCATGCTATTGGTCAAATTTACCTACTCAGCTCAATTGAAAATATTAGAGAGAAACATATAGAAAACTTGATCAAATAGAGGTTGTGTGGGTGGATTTCAATGGGAAGCTCCACTAGTGACTAACAGTGGTGAATCACTCTACAATCTCAGTGGTAGCGGAACTTGTTTTCAAGAAAGATATGGTGGTAGCGGTATGACAGAGGTGGGTGATGACAGAGGTGGGTGGAGACGGTGGGTTTGTGGTGATGGTGGAGAGAGAGCATGGTGTCGATGAGGACTGGTTTTGCATAGCCATCACCAAACCCAGCCATCAATCGCAGATCCAAACACAGTAGAGGTGAGGATTGGTTCTGCACGTAGAGGATTGAGGGAGAGAAAAAAGTTAAATGACATTTTGGTTCTTATAACAAGAGATAAATGAGCAATATTAAGCTTAAAAGATTGTCACGTGCAATGCAGGTGACACATTTTGGATGGTAGACGTAACAATGGTTAACGATTGTCCTTAATTGACAAGAGTCAAAATTAAAGGGTAAATGTGTTCAAATTAAAATTAAAATTAAAATGGCATGGACCATATTGACACAAGGTAGAAACTACAGCGACCATTACTATAATTTGGCGACAGTCAAAAAAATATCAGGAAAACGGCTCGAACAAGAACAACAATCTGCAAAGACAAAAGCAATTTTCACTCCAAAAATACAAGCAAAGCACCAAATTCATGTTTCTGAAAATCAAAACCTTAAGCACAGAATAAAATTGAAACCCCCGTCACAGCTTTACTTTACGTGTAATACTATTCATGGATGATGGTTCTAATATTCAATCTGATAAAGAAGTTGACAACTCAACTACATCTTCTTTCTTTCTTTCTTTCTTTCTTTCTACCCAGCCAAAAGCTAATAGGGGAATTGGGACTGGCAATGGGGGGCAATGGAGTAGATTTTAAAGTAATTAAATTTATAATCTTGAGACAATCAAATACGTTATTAGTAATTGAAAAAATATATATATCTTACAAAAAAAAAAAAAAAGGCGCTACTGGTTTTGAAAGCAAAAAAATAAAAAATAAAAAATCAGAGAAACAAAATTACTACAACTAAACTTCGATGAACCCAATCAAGAGTCAAAGAATATATTGATTCTATAATTGAAGCATCGATTCATACAATAACCAGTTTACTTTTACACTCGTTCGTTCCAGTGCCTTGAGATCGTTCAAATTGCATGCCAGGTTTTGGGAATTCAAAACTTGAACTTGTGAAGAGAAAACAAGAGGGAAAGTGAAGATTTACTCACAGCTCCAACACACTCATCTCAGAGAAACAATTACTATGCGTAGAAAGAGAGAGAGAGAGAGAACGAGAGAGAAACTTACCTAGCCGGAATCTTGGTCAAAGCCGACGGAGAGAGCCGACGCTGGAACCGTCGCCGCTGGCTATCGCCGCTGCCGGAGGAGGGAGAGAGAGAGAGAGAGCGAATATAAAACCCTAACTGTTCGTCAAAACATAAGGATATGGAGCGGGTACCATCCCCGATTCAACCCGAATGGCGATTTAAAACATGACACCTACCCGATCCAATGGGAAAAAATAAGGAGACCCATGTATTTCGGATTGGATATCCATTGGGTCGGGCCTCCATTGCATTGGGAAATACAAAAAAAACTTGAAACCAAATTAACAAATTGAACAGATACAGCGTCATGGAATCGCAGTATGCAAGGAATCGCAGTATGCAATCGCAACATGCAAATTTTTATGCTAAAAATACTCATGTTGTATTTTGTTAAAAGATTTCTGAAGAAATTTGAAGATAAAAAAATATATTTTTACTTAATTTCACACATTTTTTTTTTCTTTTCTTTTCACTTTTCCTTAACCAAATACGATATTACTCTTCCTTTTTGTCGCAAACAAAAGTTAGATTTGAACTTTCGACCACAGCAAAACATGTGTAATCAAAATGAAAAACTAATAATAATAAATCAATGAGTATAGGGGTTGAAACAGTGGAGAAAGATAAAGAAAGGATGGAGGGCTTACGGATTATAGGCTAGGGTCGAGCTCCGATAGTGGTCAAGATAGCGAAGGAGGCCTCTGGTGGAAATTGTGATGGTGGAGGTGACTACAAAGGTTTAACTCCGGTTCTAGCCACTAAAGAAATTAAAGTATAAGTTGAACGACAAGTGGCAAAATGGTAACGGTAGCAATGGCTAAAGAAAGATGAAGAGAAAGATAATGAGACTAAAAGAATAGAGAAGGTGCTGATAGTGAGAGCAGAAGGAGAGAGAGAGAGAGAGAGAGAGAAAGAGCAAAATTATGAAAAAGCAAAATTTGAGAGTTAGGGCAAAAACGTAGCAAGGGGCAGGAAACTTTTTAACTAGTGAAATGACTATTATGTGTGCTGTTTTCTGACCACACTGCCAAACAGGTACTCAGCTGAAGAACACCGGCAGAATAGATTGTGCCTGAACGACCTGTCACAAAAAGATAAGACTCCGGCGGTGGTTTGTCCACCCGGGGGTACTTCGACGATCAAGTCAGCAATCAACATCTCTCAAAGATAGCCAATTGTGCTTACCTCACAAGTCAGAATACAAAAAGCGTACCTTAGACCCATGAGGGTGCTTTACTTTTATAGTCAGCATTGTCATGATCCCTGTAGAAGCCTAGCTTCTTTTGGACTCTGGCCCAATGCCTATCTTGGACTCCCAGTTAGATAAAGATAAACTTCCTAAGAGCTTTATCCTTATCCAGGCTGAAGTCCTCCTCCACTCCAGGACTCTTATAACTTGTCCGCTTATCTCGGATTCCGGTATCTCCGCAGATAACCTCGGCCTAGCCGAGATCATTTCGGCGTCATGACCAGGACACGTGACACCTCGGCTGGCACTTCGATGCCACCTCGGCCACGTGTTGTCATTCATAAAAATATGCCCTCACAAGTGCCCCCGAGGTTCTATTACCTCGGCATCCTGAGGTGATGGAACCTATATCACTCGATCACATAGCATGTCGGCTAAGACTTGCTTTATCCTTCATTACCAAGGTCGTTACATGTTGGCTCCATATGACCAAGATTATAGTGTGTTTTCTCAAATGCCTTTAGAACCAAGAACCAAGTTTTTCAAGTTCTTTAACTGAGATCGTCCCCCAAGCCGAGATCTTTACTTCATTAAATCAAGAACTCCAAGAGTTTATACACACGTATGAGCTGTCACGCACAGTAACTCAACCGTTTTCACCACGCGTCTCCTCCTTATTGATTCGTACATGACACGCGCCATCAGGTCGCGTCGCTTCTGTGTGCGCCACCTGACAAGCACGTCGTCTTAAGCACATTCAATGAAACTTTGCCGCCTTTTCGTGTTTTAACAAAAAACACGTCCCTCTCTCTCTCCGTCTTCTCATCTTTGCAACATCACTTTCGCTCAAGCTTTCTCTCTCTAACATTTCTCTCCCAAATCCTCTATTTTTGTTTGCGAAGCTTTCTGTAACTACTTTCATTCTTCCCCTCCGGTGAGGCTTTCAACGTTCTGCCACTCATACCACCAGCGTTCAACTCCAGCGTACCTCACACTGGCGTCACTCATTCTGGTAAGTCACTGCTTCCTCTCTTATCAATCTGTGTTTTTCTTAAAAAAATTCCACTGCATTTATTTGCTGCCATTGCCAACCTGTTCATGTTCTTGATTATTAATTTGTGCGTAGAATTCCATCATGTATTTGGGCATGTTTGTTTCATGATTTTGCTTCTGTCCAATCTCTTCCTGAGTACACACACACTGCTCACATTTGTTTATTTTGCCATTGATTTTGGCCTCGCACCCTTGTACACACTTTGTCACAATGTTCTTTGATTTGTTGCTCATCTTCTTGAGTCTGAATTACTGTTGCTTTCTATTTCTTGCTGCATTTACCAGATTCTTGCCTTCAACTCCTGTTCTTGTAATTCTAGGTTTTGGGATTTACCCTAGAACTCCAATTCTTAGGAAAAATTGAAACGAATTCCCCTTAGATCCTCAAAAACTCTTGCCCCAGCACACGTTTAGGTTTTAGCCGGGGTCCTTCAAACCTTAACAAAACAATTCCTTCTGAAATCTAACACCTTGTCCCTCTAGCCGACATTATGGGAATGTTTAGGTGGAGAGCAGATACTCCTACTAAGTTAGAGTACTTCAGGCAGGAGTTTTCTATACCAACCGATGTTCAAATAAGGTTGGCTGGGGAGAATAACTCCATTATGCTGGGAGGGACTATATGCCCTTTCCCGTTGTCTCTAATATTAAGGGAGGAGTCAGATTCCCTCTAAACACCATTTTTAGAGAGGTCCTCCTTTTACAAATTGAACCCCATGCAACTAGTTGTAAATTCTTTTAGGATCATAAACGGAATCGCCGAGTTGGAGCGTCGGCAAAATGCTAAAATTTCCCTGTTTGATATTCAATACTGCTACACGATGTGTAGCCTTAAAACCAAAGCCGGTTATACATACTACCTCAAGCCGAGATCAACCCAATACAAGTTGATAGTCGACATCTCGGACTCTAATAAAGGTGCCACTGATGACTACCTGATTGTGTCGGGCAATTGGGAGTTCGCGATAGACGACGAACTCCGCCTCTTCCCATTACGCTGTGGGGTTTTTAGGGATGATATGGGTAAGGACTTATTTTTCCTCCCTAGAGTCCCTCTTACGTTTTTAATCATCACTTTGTTCCTACTTTATTTCTAACATATGTTCTCTTTTTGCAGCTCTCCCTCAGTCAGAAAAGGATTTTCGCCGACACTACATGCTAAGCAAAGACTTGGTCCGCCTTTTCGGCCTTCCCCTGGAGCTTCGCAAGGCTCCAATCCTCCTCAACTACATTCTAACATATCGAAGTCCTCTGCCTGACGTCCCTCTGAAGAGCAAATCTCCGCCTTCCATCACAACTCCTCTTACTACCTCATCGCCAAGGCCGGATCAAGGTTCCACCTCTGACCCAGCAGAGCAGCCGTCGACATCTGCTTCCCAACTTATTCCACCAGCCCAGCGCCAACGCCGACATTGTATTTCTACCAACACTCATGCTGGTAGAACACGTAGCCGAAAACGCTGGGTGCTGAGGCGTCGGTTTACGACCCAACAAATCCACCAACAGCTCTACCAGCAATCCACTTTGGTACAAGGGTTATAGTTGCCACCACAGCCGGCAAGATGGGGCGAAAACCTACAGTAGTTAAAGATTTGCTCACCAACCTTCCTGGCGTTGTCACCGTCCAGTCTTCATCCTCCCCTCAGCCAACCCCTAAGCCAAAACGAGTGAAGAAGGCCAAGGCAAAGGCCACAATGACCCAGATTGATTCTGAGGACACTGTGCTTATCTCAAAGTTAGCCAAAGCCAAGAAAAGTGCCCCCTTCATCGAGAAGCGTCCTGCCGAGGACCCATCTTCCGAGGCCCCACTTGCTAAAAAGTCAAGGTCGGACCACCAAGAGGGTAGTAGCTACCCCTGAAGTATGGTCTGGGCGCCCGAAATCATGCTTGACGACAGACCCCTTACCGCCGGTGATAATGCTGCCAATCTTGAGGTTGGCGCGACCCTGTCCATGGTAGTTCTTCTGCCTGAGGACATGAACCGAATGGCCGAGCTACACGAATATGAAGACTTTGCCTTCATGATGCAGCACTCGGTCTTGGTAAGCATTCTACCTTCCCCTTTGTCAATTTTTCCACACTTAGTGAAATCTTGCTAACTTGTGTTACTTCTTTGCAGGCCATCCAGCATGCCTATTCTTATACCACCAAGACCGAGACAATGACGAAGGATTTGGAAAAGAAAACAAAAGATGCAGCCAAAGTCCTTTCTTCGCTTAATCAGGTCGAGGCCAACAACCGTTCTCTTATGGACCAGGCTAAGGATGCCAAAACAGCTCATAGTGTGGCCGAAGAAAAGGCCAAGGCGGCAAACGACGAAGCTGAGGCAGCAAGAGCCGACCTCGAAGCTGCTAAAGCCAAAGTAGTCGATCTGGAGGCCAAGTTGTAGGAAGCTATCGCCAATAAAGAGGCCGAGGTTAAGGCGGCCGACGAAAAGGCTTTCGAAGAGGGACAGGCTGTCGTTCGCGACTAATACAAAGAGCAAGTCAACCTGGGTTACAACCGAGGTTACTACCTCGGTGGAACGGTGGCCCTCAACAAGTTGGATGTTGTTATGGACTCTGACCTTCGTGACATCAGCAAGATCCAAGTGCCATTCCGCCCAGAGAATAAAGAGGCCGACGTTGAAGACGAAGAAGATGTCGATGATGGCGAGGTCGACGAAGAGGATAGGGAGGCTGCCACTGATAACAAGTCTCCTACCCTCAACGAGCAAATAGACTTAACTCAGGATGAGAAGGATGACTTGGCATCCAAGGGCGTCTTCTCCACTTCAACAACTTCTGAAACCGAGATCCGTTGTGCCGAAAAGAGTCTAGATGAAACCTTGCAAGAGATTGATGCTAAGCTTGAAGTCGAGAGGACTATAACGCTCCCCTCTGATCAAGCCAAGTCT